ATATATATATATATATATATATATATATATATATTTCTTTACCTCTCTCTGTTTAATTCTTTTCAAACCTCTCTCGGTTTAATTCTTTTCCAAGCCTGTTGTTTAATTCTTTTCTTCCCTATTTAATTCTTTTCTTTCCCGTTTAATTCTAACCGTTTAGTAAACGAAGGGTTGATCTAATTCTCAATAATGGTACAAAGAAGAAGATCTATGATCTCATTCAAAGATCTGACATGATTTCTAACTGCTAATTAAAATCTAAATAACTGGGTAATGTAGGTGAAAATCTGATTCTAATTAATTCAATAAATGATTTTGAATTTTTTTCTTTTCTTTCCTAAAACTACTTCCATTAACCATTTCCAATCTATTTTAATTTTTCCTTGAGTAAAAATGGCTATGCATCCATCCATTATGATTTTCTTCTCTTTACTCAAAATGATGATTCAATTTAGATGCAATTGACACCGCCAATTTTGATTTTCGATCCAATATCCAAAAGTCTAAATAATTGAAAGAGAGATCTAAGATAACTTTTCTATCTCGCGCAAAAATGAAAGAAAATGAGATCTAACTGACCGATGACTTTTCTATCTCTTTCCATTCCTATTAGATCTGCGTGAAGTGAATGCCATCTCCAATTCTTCTCTCCCAAAATCTGTGATCTTCCCTATGTTTCTTTCTCCCATTTTTCCCTTCCCAAAATCTGCCCATTTTGTTTCTGTTTCCTTTATTGTTTTTTTTTTTTGCAGATTCTTTTCCAGTTGGAGGGGTTGGCGAGATATTTGGGGAAAGTGGAGAGAGAGTCGATAATTTACTTTTTTATTTTATTTTATTTTTATAATTATTATTATCTTTTTTTTTTTTTTTTTTCGGGTCGTTACAAGAACAAATATCTAAAGCATAATATTCAAAGATTAATGTTCTTCAAAAGCTAGAAAAGCTTTTTTTATTTTTTTTTTTTATAATGTTTTGATGATTCGTAACGACTTTAGGTTAAATAGAAAGTTAAGGATCGTTATAGTTGTGATCTTGGAAAGGACTCTAAAGATGATGTTGGTGGCATGGGACATGAGTAACTGAAACAACCATGTCTACCTTAGATTGTCGAACCAGAAAAGTTACCTTGAAATATAAGGAAAATGAGTGATCAAACAAAACGAAACTAATATTTTTTTATTTTCTTTATTTCATTTTCTAAAAGGAAAAGGAGTGATCAAACCAAACGAAATTAATATTCTAATTTTCTTTATTTCATTTTCATTTCAAATAATTTTTTTATTTCATCTTTATTAGAAATGTGTGTGTTTTAGTTTGAAGCATTTGTGATAATTTTCTAAGACAAATATTTTATTTTAACCAAATATTTACATGTTTCTCTCCTTTTAGGTTTTTAGTTTTTCATTTATTAATAGAAAGGAACCAAATATCTTCAAACTTGAAACTACGCACTTAATTTATTATATATAATATAATAAATACAAAGATCCAAATAAATAAATTATTATAAATTTAAATATCAATCTCTTAAAATTTATATAAATAATAAATTATCGTATAATTTCCATAAGAAGAGATTACTATGGTGCAAAATAGTATTTCGACATTCTTTTCAAGGATATAATAAAAATTAAAAATATTTGGACATATAATAAGTAATTATAAATATTTAGAGTGTTGGGATATTCATATAAGGTTATGCAACTCTACCCTACCTTAATAGAATAAGAGCTATAATAATAATCCTAACACAAAAATTGAACAAAAGTAATTAAAATAAGAGTATAATAATAATCATAGTTCCATATAGAATTATGGAAAATTAAAAAAAGCAAAGAGTGTCTATTAAATATTAGAACATGCGTGTATTAAAAAGATGTAGAAAGATGCTTAACTAAGCGTTTTGGTCTACATAAATATACATCTTTACTACTATCAATCCCATGTAACACGTTAGCTTCGAAAGTTGCTGGAAACTCTATTCCAATTTATTTGACATAAAGTGATGTAAAACCAGGAAACTTGTTGGGTATCCTTCACAACTTCCACAAACTCATAGTTTGTACCCTAAACATAGGAGAAGAAGGTTTAATAAGGAGTTAGAAAGATTATGGATAGAAAAAATACATACAGACAAGAAAATATGAAATAAAACATACATACATTTTTGATGTTGCACTCACTAATAGTTTTCTGCGAGCAGTCTCGAAAATATGGTTCGGATAGAAATTTCTCCGGTACAATGAGACCAATTTCAGAATTGTCCCGAAAGGAGGGTACATGTGGCATATGATCGATATTACAAAATAATATTAGGTGAATAAGAGTAAAGAAAAAGTAGGAAGGAGAATTGTAACGACCCAAAAAACAAAAAAAACAAAAAAAACTCAGTCGCCGGGAAACTCGCAAGTTTTCCAGCGACCGCGAGTTTCCCGGACCCCACGCGAAACGACGGTCACCACGCCCAGCCTTCAGCCCACGACTCCCAGCACCTATCAGAATACCTGCAAAGGAAGAAAAGAAAGAAAATATGAGGGAGAGATTTCAGATAAACGTCGATGAGTTTCCAGTTTCTCTGACGAACCCTCAAACCACCCTCAAACCGATACCAAATGATCAGTTACCACCACGAGAAGGATCCCTAACAAAAGCACAATAACTCAAGGTGCGTTTTGTGCTTTTTCGTAAGCGTCATCGTCGGTAACCGAGGTTAAAAAATTAGGTTTTCCTCATCG